ACATATATATACATATATACATACATATACACATATATATACATATACACATACATATACACATATATATACATACATACATACATATACACATATATACATACATACATACATATACACATATATATACATATATATACATACATACATACATATATATACATATATATACATACATACATACATATACATACATACATACATACATACATATACACATATATATACATACATACATATATACACATATATACATACATACATACATACATATACATACATACATACATATACATACATACATACATATATGTGTGTGTAGATTAGATAATAAGTTATTTATCAGGATAAACAGTAGTAAAAGGATGCTAAAAGTCATATGGTAATATAGCATACATAGCTAAAAGTAGTTGATATGGAGTTTAAATAATTAGCTGAAAGCAATGGATAAATTGTTGAAAATATAAACTTAGAGTAGTAGCAGTTAAACTCTATGAAGTATAAGAAGTTACCGGTGTTGATTCGGTGCCAGTTCTGTGCCGGACTGGGGCAGTTCTGTCCCTGTCCACTGACGTTCACCCTGTAGCTCTCTCCGCAGAGCAGAGAGCTGATGTTGCAGGAGGAGCCATTGGTGGAGCAGGTCTGCATGTCTACATTGCTAAAAGCAACTGCTGAGGCGTTGTAGTAGCGGATGCCACTGCCGGGCGTCCAAGACACCAGAGCCGTGTTGGTGTCACAGTCCAGGGTAGCCTGCAGACCGCTGTGGGGACAAGGACCTCGACAGAGAGGTATGTAGAGAGGGAAAAGTGAATACATAGAGAGAGGGTCATGTGGGTATGTACTGTGTGAACTAAAACTGTAATTTCTGTAAATTAATGATTTTTTGGAAAAACCTGTCTGTCAAGTGCATTTGCTTCTGTTGATTTGTAGTTGGATTCTGAATGGGTTTTTGTGAACTTTTCACGCAAGAAGACACTTCCCATGAAACACTGCTCTTCTATTAACACATTGTAGCGACCATGGGACACAACAATAAAGACAAATGTGTCTCTTTGCACAACCCTTAAAGTTTTAAGTTTGCTAAAGCTTATTATGGGTAATTAGATATAAAACAATGAAACAGCAATACAATGAAAGTGTGTATATCTACCTATTGTGTTTGTATGCTGTAGAAAGTACAAATTATCGGATAAAGTGGTGCCAAATGTGACGACCCCTCCCTCCCACTAGGGGTCTGTGTCCTGGTTGCTGCCTTCTGTCTTTCAGGATGTTGATCAGCAGCTAATGAGCCACACCTGAGCCTGATGGAGTGATGGATATATAAATCCACAGCTCAACAAGGATCGGCCCCCCTCTCTCCTCTCCGACTCTTGTCTGGATGACACAGCTGCTTATTTGTCTTATTTGTCTTGAGTAATTCTTTGTTCTTAAATAAATGTCTATTTGATTACTTTTATCGCTCGTCTTGTCTCCCTTTTGTTACAACCTTTGAGCCGGGTCATGACACAAACCACTCGTACAGTAACAAGAATACAAATGGCTCATAGACTACTTCCCTTTCCACGAAATGTGATGCCAACTCTCAACTCAACGGCTTCAGGTTTATCAAGGTTCCTTCCACAGCGCTGCAAAGTTCACTCAGGTTTTTAGATAAGGCTGCTTTCCAAATCACATATTTTTACTTTTAGAACATATTGCAGCTGCCATTACAAAGTATTTATTGTTGCATGCAGTATTGGGACATACTACTTCGTCAATACATTGCGCCTTGAACTTTGACCCTCTTGTTCATATAGCAGGCAGCTTCCGTCATTGAATCATCTATCTGTGCTCTCGGCAGCTCAGCGTGTGACGTACTGTATCCCCGCTGTGCATAGGATTGTGGGTTAGAATAGCCAGAAAAGCATGCTGGCTTGCGTACCGCAAAATGCAACCGGATGCAGCAGGACATACTGCATTTGTATTGTGACATACTAAATCTTTTTCAAGGCATACTAAAAGGTATGGGTATTGAAACGCACCCTATGTCAAGTGCATTCTGTAGCTTCTGATGCATAGTTCAAGGGGGTTGTAAATCTGCATACTCATACTCGGCTGATCTGCTTTTACCTGTGGTGGCGTTGATGGACTCGCTGACCAAACTGATGCAGGAGTCATGGCGAGCCACCACTGTAATGGCATAGTCCTGCCCACACGCCAGGTTAGGGAAGTTACAGTTGGTGTCAGTGCTGTTGCATTCAGCATTGTGGCCGAGATCGCCCCGAGCATAGACGGTGTAAGATTTGGCACCACGTGCTGAGTCCCATGTGACCACGGTGATACCAGTCTGGCAGTCCACTTCTGCCGTGAGGTGGGTGGGAACACATGGAGCTGGTGGGAAGAAAGAGGTAGATATGTGGAAGAGTCACTTTCAGTTTAGTCTTCTGTAGCATTTGATTTCAATTATTCCAGCAAGCTTGTAGTATATTGCCTGTTTTTATATTACAGCTTTGTTAAGTACGAGTGGTGGAAACTAACTAAGAACATGTACTGTACTTAAGTTCAGTAGGCCTTTTGCACAGCAGCTATTCTTATTAATTCTTAATAATCAATGTTCCTACGGTTTCAGTCCTGCTTTAGTGTGTAGACCATGTAATGCTCGCTGTACATTATTATTTACTAAATACCTGCGTTGAGCATTTCTGCAACAGCTGGTTCACTGCTGCATGTGTCTGTGTGGCCGACCACACTGATAACGTAGCTCTCCCCGCAGGTCAGCTGGTCGAAGGTGCAGTTGGAGCTGCTGGAGCTGCAGGTGGTGTTCATTCCTCCGCTGTCCACAGCTGACACCACCTGGGTCTGGTCTGGCCCCGAGTTTCCCCAGGTCACCGACGCCATGTTAGTGCTGCACCGCAGATCCACCAACACCCCTTCTGGTTTACAAGGGGCTGAAAGGGTGAAGAGGTGGATGAATAAGAGAGGTTAGGGTGTAATAATATAGCGAGTCGTGATAAGAAAGGATGCGGAGATATGAGTTTTTACTAAGATTAAGAGTCGTGATCTTTTGCTACCTGACTGCATCGCGTAGTCGGATCCCTCGATGGTGCCACAGTCGACTGATGATGTAGTGACCACAATGCTGTAGTTGAAGCCACATTTTAGGTTCTGGATGTCGCAGTTTGTGTTAAGGGAGTCACAGGTTGCACGGGAGCCGTCACTGCCAATGGCGATCGCAGTATAGGAGCCGACGTCGCCGATGTTCGCCCTCCACCCAACCGCAAAGGAGTTGACATTGCAGTCCAGGTCTGCTTCCACCCTGTCAGGCAGACAGTAGGCTGTGGGAAGGGACAAGAGTGGAGGACGATTGATTTAGTAATTCAATCGTTGGTTTTAAGCTTTAAAACAGTGAAAGTGCAACCCAGACATCTGCATGTGTCATTTACCTGAGTCAAAAGTTACGGATGCTCCCGTACTGCTGTTGCATGTCTCACTGGAAGCAACCACAACTGCCGAGTACTGTCGTCCACAATCCAACTTCACTGAGCAGTTTGTAGTTGTGTTGGATGAACAGGAAACTAGATGACCGTGGGTACCAATCACTGTAGCTGTGTAGGAGATGGCGTGGATACTTGGCGCCCAGGTCAGCTTTCCCAAGTTGGTACCACACTCGGCTCTGGCCGTCAGGTTGGTCAGAGGACACGGAGCTGGCAGGAAAGAGATTCAGGAAGGAATTATTCTGTGCTCCTCAACTGCATTTATAGACTGAGCTGGGAGTGAAAATTAAACTCTTTAGCTTTTGTTAGCGTGGAGAAATGGATGTTTACTGATTAATGGCACTGTGAAAATTACTTTTTCTCACTGGAACCGCTCTGCATTATTGTAAGTAAGCAACCAAGTTATCAAAATATTAACCTGTTTCACTTAGTATAGGCTTGCTGAGGACACTGGTGCACTCATTGTCCCTGGCAGCGACTGTCAGTGAATACAACTCGCCACACTGCAGCCCGGTGAGCACATGGGACGTCTGGGTTGTGGAGAAGTTGGCGCTGGTCCCGCCATATTCTTCAGAGTGGACGACGTAGGTAACGCCACTTTCTGGGCTCGGGTTCCAGCTTACTGTGATGTCATTGTCGCTACAAGTTGTCACTCCAGCCACACTAGTCGGTGGGCAAATGACTGAGAACAAGAAAAGGAGATGAAGAGAGAGAAAATCTTATAAATTAACTGATTCAAATATACATTTTTGCAAACTAAAACCAATAATATAATAGTTCATATGATAGATTATATCATTTATGATTGTTAAATACTTAAAATTTAATATATATAAATATGTGGAATAAGAATCATGAAGCTGATTCATTATATTATATCAAAAATGTGAAACTATTCCTCTAATATCTATGCACACATTCTCTGACCTGAATGGAAAGTAAAAGGCAGGCTGGGCTCGCTCGTGCAGCCCCTCTCTATGGTGACCACTGTGACGACGGCCGTCTCGCCACAGTTGAGGTTTGTGAGGGAGCAGCTTGTTCCGTTGGAGGTGCAGGTGTGGTTCTGTTCATCCACAGCAGACGGTAGTGCTGTGGCCACATAGAGATCTGCTTGTGGGGCAGCGGTCCAGGTCACATGGCCCACATTACTAACACACTGCAGGGACACATGAACATCTGTGGGAGGGCAGGGGCCTGAAAGAAAGAGAAGAAGGGAAGAGGGAAGTTAAAGTGGAGTAAGCATGAGGCAAAAACATGTTTAATATTTAGAAAATATCAAACAAAGAACTGTATGTAGCAAACATACTTAATATGTTGTATAACAATTAGATAAAATAGGTAATTACCCTATATTCAATATAATGATTGTCACAATCACCAAGACACACATTAGACAATAAGAAGTGAAATTAACAATTGAGATCCAGTAGTCAATATTTGTCCGAAAGCCAGCATCTGGAAGTGGTGAAAGAAATACTCAGATCTTCTGCTTAAGTAAAAGTAGTAATACCCCAGAGAAGATATATTTTAGTTAAGTAAAAGTCATGCATTAAAAGTTTTACTGAAGGAAAAATATTTGCATCCAAAGTACCACGTACCAAAATAACTCATTATGCAGAGTGGTCCATTTTAGAGTCATAATTATTGTTGAAATCTAATTATTTGTTAATTCACATAATATATTTGTCAATAACTTTGCATTTTAACTGATAACAATACATCAGAAATTATTTGTTGATCAATTTGTGTAGTATTAATCTGAACATGAAAGGTAATTCATTGATGTTGTAATGAAAATGTAGTAGTATAAAGTAGCATAAAATGGAAATACTCCTATAAAGTACAAGTACCTCTAAATTGTACTAAAGTACAGTAATTGAGTAAATGTACTTAGTTAATTTCCACCACTGACATCTGGTGGCATCTAGAAGAACTGCATCAGCCCAGGATAAACAATCAACCCAGCAAAATCATTTCCCCCCCTTTGTTTTAGTCTTAACAGAGAGGCAGTATTAAAACATAAAATATTTTTGTATACAATATTTTTGAATAGGTTTGAACGAAGACAAACTCAATGTTGATATCACATCAAAGTGTGTCAAAGTGCTTTTTTCCACCTCACCTGCAATATAACTGTGTGGGGAGCTGTCGAAGCCCTTGCAGCGTTCAGAGAAGGGGGTGACAGTGATGACGTAGGTCTGGGCGCAGTGCATGTCGGGTAGGAGACAACTTGTGTCGTTAGTAGTGCATTGTTTCACATCACTGTCTCTGCCCTGTGCCATCACTTTGTAGGAAACAGCACTGGGGCTCTGTTGCCAGCTCACCACCGCTGTGTTGTTGTCACACACCAGGGAGGCACTGATATTTTTGGGAGCACAGGGGGCTGATGGGGAGAAACAAGAGGAGAAACACAACTGAGTCTTTATGCAAAAGCACTAATCACTTACTTCATTTTAGGGAAAAGTTTGCCTTCTGCATTTTTTTCTAGATTTCAACTGGGAAGACAGGAGCTATAATATCTGTGCCCATGGGAGTCTTTATGAAAATATGCCAAAACCCAGTCTCGTTTTTAAACAGATGAACATGCAAGCACTGTGATCAGCTACAATGCTAATTACCCACCTACCTTTGCTAGCTTGAATCATACACTGTGTCTCTAAGGTGTTAATCACATATAATGTGGTTGTAGCCCTCCACAGTAACTATAATCCAATTTTTAGCTAAATCTATGTTTTAGCTAATAGTTGCACCTTTGAATTCTTTGATTGTGAAGGCCCTTGGCCTCTGCTTCCTCCTCACAGGTCCTCCCTGATTGCCTGGCCCCTCCCACCTCATTAAGGGATTAATCTCACCAACTGGGAGCCTACATGACCTGGTTGGTTCCAAGATGTCTCTCGCCAACCTAGTTTTGTTTAGTTTTTATCCTTTATTTATGTCTGCAGGTAGTTTAGGTTAGCGCCTACAGTATTATATAACCTAACACTTTCAAAAGTGCATTGCTGACATTCAAGAAAATGTCCACAAAAATGTCAAGTTTACATGCTTTGTAGTAAAGAAAGATTACGTGCAAACACACTGGTTTAGATTAGAGTGGAGTGGAGATTACACCCACAGAAACTCTGGTTACCGGTCATTTTAAATCATCTCCATACACACACACACACACCCTGTAGATGTCCCATCACCCAATCCTTGCTCTCTTACCTGTCTGTATTTGCGTTACACCTGGCACGCTGCTGTTGCAGTGGTCAGCCACAGCTATCACGGTCACATCGTACATGCGACCACAGAGTAGTGAGGGCAGGGAGCAGTTGGTCTGGCTGGTGCTGCAGGAGGCCATGTGGTCTCCAGAATAGACGTAGGCGTAGAAACTCTTTCTTCCCACAGTCTCGTCCCAGCTCACGAAGGCGATGCCAGTCTCACAGGAGTATGTGTACTCCACATTTGCAGGGGTACATGGGGCTGGGTGAGAGTGGCGTAAACAGTCAGTTCCTAAACACCTCATACTTGAATACTTCCTGAATACTTTATAAGACTCCGCCAACATCAAGTGGCCCCGAATGCAACAGCCTTAACACAAGTCTTAAGTTACAACTTACATGTGACGATCTGAAAAGAAGAGCTGGGTTTGCTCCAACACTGGACTCCTCGTGCAACAGCCTGGACGGTGTAGGTGTGTCCGCACTGCAGTTCATCCAGGACACAGCTGCTGTTGGCGGAGGAGCTGCAGGACGTCGAGTGTCCCAGGCTGGAGGTTGCGTTGACCGTGATGTTCATGGCATCCTCGTCCTCAACCCAGGTGAGCACAGCGTGGTTGGAGACACAGTCCAGGGAGTGATCCTGGATCACTGGAGCGCAGGGGGCTGGGCAAGGGATTGTCATACATTTCAAATTTGCCTTTTAGAGGAATCTTTTGGTTGTTCATTGTTTGTCTTATATCAAATCTCTGTAATTTCCCTTTTTTTCTGTCCACTTTCAATTAAAAAATGTTTAGTTTAAAGAAGCTTTAAAATTAAATTAGGAAAGATTTTGCATTGAAGACGCAGTTATTAAGTTATCAGATCATCAATCCTAAGACCTTCATCAGAATACTTTCTCAAAAGGACAAAGATAGGACTATATCTCATATGTAGGGTCTTGATTCCCATTGAAAACATTAAAGGGATAGTTCAGGTGTTTTGAAGTGGGGTAGTATGGATATTTCTAGTTTCTGAAAGTGGTAAGGGCTGCGATTGGGGGCACTCGTGACATCAGTATTTCTAATTTCCTGGCTATGGCCCTGCTTTGCACAGCCGAATTCACCGATAGCTGTCGCGGTGAAGTCAATGATTGCAATGAAAACACAATCCGCAGGATAAAAAGCCATACATTCAATTAAAAAAAACACAACTTATAATAGCAATATTAAAATTGGTTAATCAATATATTCAAAAGCATCAGCAACAATGGTTCCAACAAACAACGGCTCCTCACTCTTATTGTGTCTTTCTTTACCTGTTGTCACATTGGTTTTGGCGAGTATGGAGCTGTTGCAGTTCCCGTCCCCTGCCAGCACAGTCACAGCGTAGTCCTTCCCACACTGCAGCTGGGTCAGCTCACAGGAAGTGCCGTTTGAGTTACAGTAGTCGATGTGTCCGTTGGCCTTGGCGAGGACTGTGTAATGTTTTGCTCCAGCGCTGGGCCCCCAAGTCACCGTCACAACACCAGAGAGGCAGTGCAAAGCAGAGGCCACATTTGTAGGATCGCAGGGTGCTGGAGGAGGGAGGGGAAGATGACTATTATGACTGTATTTATACTATGACTTGAATTCTTTCACTTAAATGATGGAATTCAACTGTCAGTATATTTTGATAGCTCTGGTGCGACCGCGGCATCTGCATTACTTTGATAGCTATGCTTTGAGCCAAATCCTAATTAATTGTCATTAAAAATATAGCAAGTACATCAAATGTTTTGCTCCAAGTGCCTCCAGAACCTCAAACATCCGCAACAGAAAGTCCACAAAAGAAATATTTCATACAGTAATAGCTTTCACACTGTTTGCCTGAAATGAAAGGCTCAGATTTCTTTGTAATCAAAACTCTGCAGTTACCGGTTCTCGCTGAGATATTGGCACTGTTGGAACTGGTACACCTGTCATTCATGGCCACCACACTGAGCTTGTACGTCTGAGCGCACTGCAGGTCAGAGAAGAGGCAACTTGTGTCAGCTGTAGGGCAGGAAGACGAGAAACCTCCCGCTCCGTTCAATGCGGAGATGTAGGACGCTGCGCCGGCAGCTGCATCCCAGGACGCCTCCACTGTGTTAGTGGAGCACTCCACAACGCCTTGGACGTTCACAGGAACACAAGGAACTAAGAGAGAAATGATGTTGGTGGAAAAATAGGCACATGAGGAGGAAGGAGAGAACAATTTTACTACCAAGAGACCATGTCCTTTAGCTTGCTGTGCTTTCTGTATTTCCATAGAGCCTACTGCTCTGGTGGCTCGGCTGACAAAACTTACCAGAATTGACTATTTCGGGGACGCTGCTGTGTCCTTCACATGTGCTGCTGACGGCTCTGATCGTCACATTGTAGCTCTGTCCACACTGTAAGTTAGTCAGCGTACAACTTGAATCCTCTGTTAAGCAGTGAAGTACAGTGCCGTCTCCAGCCAGGGCGGCGGCGCTGTAGTTTAATGGCATGGATCCAGGCGCCCAGCTGATGGTCAGCATGTTGGTGCTACAGTTCAGGGCGTTGAGCACACTCTTCACAACACATGGGGCTGAGAGGAGGCAAAGAGTGGCAAAGAGTGAGATCATGTAGTAGTCGCTGAATCACTTAAAATTGCATTCATAGATTTTGTTTTTTGGCTACTTTTCTCATCTTTTGGGATTGCAGTGTTTGCAATCTGCTTGCAGTGTTTGCAATTTGCAGTGTTTGTAGAAAGGAGGAGGTAGGGAAGGAAAAGGGTGATTTTTCACAGAGCCATTTTTATTGAGGATTTGTAAGAAAGGGGTTATGAAGGGAGAAAGAAGACACAGGAAGAAAGCAGCGATGCCACTCATTCTCACCAGTTGTTTGGACGACAGGCTCGCTGTCAGGACTTTGACAGTCACCATCTGACGCTGACACAGTGAAGGTGTACTTCTTGCCACAGTGCAGACCATCCATTTGGCAACCGAGCTTCATTCCTGCGTCACAGGTCACATTGTGTCCGCTTGCGCTCACTGCTTTGCCAGTGTAGGACACTGCATTGGGGCTGCTGCTCCAGCTTAACATGGCAGAGCTATTGGCACAGTTGACAGAGACGTTGAGCTGAGAGGGAGGGCAGGGCTCTGTAGAGGAAGGGCACAGAACATATGGATGGCATGGAGTTGGGACCATGAGAAGGATCTACACATTTCAGAGATTGAATCGTGCTCGTTTCTACCTGCCCGTAGTGTCTTTGCAGAGCTCTCATTGCTGGAGCAGGTGTCGTCCATGGCAGACACCCCGACACTGTAAACCTGGCTGCACACGAGGCCCGTCAACATGCACCATGTCTCATTGGAGGAGCACAGCAGGCGTTCACCGTCTTTATCTATTGCAGCTGCTTGGTAGCGTAGGGCGCCGCGGCTTGCATTCCAAGTCACTTGCGCAAAACTCTGGCCACAGTTTCTTGTAACCGTCACGTTAGTGGGCACACATGGTGCTGAGGGAGAAAAACCTCAGATCAGTGCTTTGCATTTTAATGAATTGTCTTCAAATTAGAGTACTAGAAAGCTGCTTACATGTCAGTAGACATATTTTCTCGATACTAAGTCACATTTATGTCAGGTAACACTTACTAATGCATAATTTACTCATATTTTAAAAGTTTTTTCTATCACATTTGTCACCGTGTTCTCTTACTTTCCCTGATAGACAACACTGAGGGTTGGCTGACACAGGTGCTGTTGAAGGACATCACTGTCAGCGTGTAATTAAGTCCACACTCCAGCGTGGTGATCGTCACCCCAGGCTTCGTGGTGATGTAAGACGTTGCGTTGTTGCTGTTTGAGACCACAGTTTTGTAACCTTCTGCGTTACTTGTCGCGTTCCAGCTGAGGGTCAGTACTTGTGACCGGCAGTCTAAGTTCGCTGTCACGTTGGGCCCGCAAGGAACTGGAGAGAAGAAAGAAAGGTGAAGTATGTTCCTCTCAGAGCTTCTACATGCAGGTTGATCTAGACACTGTGTTTAGGAAAAAGGGATGCTAATGTGCAGGGGGTTAAATTGAGACCAAGACTACATGCCAGGCTACAATGCACATAACACACCAGAAAACAATAAATGAAAATGACAGCTTTGCTATTCTTACCGTAGATCCTTACTGCTAGTGGGGCAAATAGTTCAAAGTTTGGCTTGATGGTGGCACCAGAGTCATGTTTCTAAAGGGTACAGTGGCCATTTTTAGGACTTCTCAGACTATAGAGACCGAAGGTTCTCAATTTTGATTCAGCCAAGAACACTTTACGAATGAGAGAATATAGACTACTGGGGACCTGCTAACATATGTTTCTTAGAATGTTTTTACACTTCTTTAGTCTTAGTTATGTGGAACAAGACAAGACAAGAGAAATCTATTGGAAAGATGTTAGACATATATTAAACATATTTGCAGATTCTAAAAGCTACAGATTGTTTAGATGAAAAAGTAATCTATGAACTATTAGAGATTTAAAAAATTGAAATATTTGTTGAACTTTGAAAACATGTTTAAAAAAAACTTTTTTATATCTGATAACTTTCCACAGACCTCACTTTGAGAATCGCTGATATAGGCAATATAAGAAGTCAGCCTCTGCTGTACTTAAACATGGATTCATTGATTTTTTTTTTTGGGCCACTTGGGGTCAGCACTACAGTGGAGTTGACATTGGGAAAGTGTTGCCTATTTACACATCCACAGCAGCACGGAGCAACGTGGCATTCAACTGGAGTCATATTTCTGGCCATCTGACAAATTAAGTATAATTTGACCACCCTTTTGTTCTGATCCAACTGTTGAGGGAAATATCTGGCTCTTTAGGTGCCGAGCATTCCACTGTGTTCACCAGCTGCTCACTAACTTTATCTGTCTGCTGTTAAGAGCTGAGCACGAAGCTTATACGTAGCCAAGACAAATTTCCTTCGGGACATTAAAGTCTATCTTATCTTATCTTATCAGATGTTGTTGCTGTAAACAATGCTGATGAGAGGCAAAACGAAAACAGTACAGTTGTGTGAATCCAAAACAATGAGCTGAAAGACACTGAAACACTCTGTAGCTGAAGGGAACTTCAGAGATGTTAATATAAAGTTAACATAGAATAACCTATTGGTGCAGCTTTGAGCTCTCAAAGCTTTACTGAGGAGGTTAGAGATATAGTGACATGACGTTGTAATATATACGAATTGTTGTTCCTTTACCAGACTCCATGTAGATTTCCTGAGAGGGCATGCTGGGGCACATGCCATCGTGGCTTTTGACAGTGGCTGTGTAGAGCTGGCCACATTTCAGGTTGGGTACCCTGCAGCTGGTATTAGTGGAGCTGCAACTGAGAAGTCCCTGATCTTCATCCTTGATGGTGGCGGTGTAGGAGTTTATTTTGGGTTGGTCACGCCACGAAATCAGAGCCTCATTGGCTACACAGTCCAGTGAGGCAGTAACGTGATGCGGTGGGCAAGCGCCTGAAATGAGGCAAAGGGACAGTTAAGTAGACAACATTTTGAAATTAAACTTAATTTAATTTAATTAAAATCAGCAGCTTAAGATTCTTAAAAATCGCTTTCCAGAAATGGGACTAAGCCATTAAATACTGTATATCTTAGCTAGAAGTTTGTTCAATCCTTCCAGACAACATTATTGACCTTTAAATCTTGTACTTCAGATGAAAAATGCAGGTCCCTCCTTTCCCACTTTTGTTCACTTCAAAGGTCACTCAAGCAGCTTTACAGTATAATAACCCAGAAGAAGAAGAACGAGCAGCCCCACAGTACCTGTCTCTATGGTGAGCATCTCGCTCTCAGAGCTGTTGCACATGAAGTTGGTGGCGATGACGTACGCTGTGTAGTTGGTGCCGCACTGTAAGCCCTCGATCTTACACGTCAGATCTATGGCGTTGCAGCTGTGAATGACGCCATTACTGTCCTTCGCTATGGCGATGTAGAATATTGCACTGCCGGCCATTAACCAGGTCATTCCGATGGAGTCGGATCCACAGTCCCTCTCTGCTGACACGTTCTGAGGAACGCATGGGACTAGAGGAAAGGGGACACATTTACATAAGAATGAATTCCACTTTTCATTTACTTTTGCAGGCGATGACAATCGAGGTTGCCAATCAAGAGATTATTTTTATTATTGATTTATTATATTCTCAATTATTGGATTACTGGTTTGGTCTGTAAAGCCATCAGAAAATAATAACAAATGGCCATCGCATTTTCCAGACCCCAGAGTGAGGTCTTCAAAGTGCTCGTTTTATCCAACACAGGCCAAAACCAAAAGATAGTTCATTTATAATGGTATTAATGTTAAATCGTGTAATGTAAATCATGAAAAATAGCAAACTTTCACATTTGAGAAACTATAATATAACAATAATAATCAATTATCAAAATAGTTGCTGATTAATTGTCTGTTTAATTGACTATTTGATGAATTGACTAATTGATTCAGCTATAAAGAAATCCCATGCAAATGCTGAGTGAATAGGCAGTTTCTGTGATGTTTGTGAAGTGATGGAGAAAATATTTTGTGGTGAAATGTAACTAATAAGTAGTGTACATTGTCTGTAGGTACAGGCTAATATTTTACTTAAAATAGCATCTGGTCAGTTTATTTTAAAGGACAGGTAGCTATAGATGCAACAATCTAACAGTATATATTACAGTTAAAATTCCTCCTTATCAAAATGCTGCTTACACATTAATGTATCAGCAATAATAGTTCAATGTATAATAATATATGAAGGAGTCATTGCAACATGTTGCTGATAATACAATGCCTCCTTCCCTTTGCAAAAGTAAGATGTTGTATACAGAACTTTTACTTGTTTTGGATATTTTTTTATGGAGCAAGTAAATAATCTCGATACTTCTTCCACCACTGCTGGCATCTAATAAACAGGCACTAACAGCTCCTCCTCACTTGTCTCAGCCACAGGCCCCAGCACCCTCGGGCTGGCACATTCTTCGTCAAAAGCTGTGATGTAGATGGTGAAGTACTCTCCACACTCGACGCCCGGCATAGCGCAGCTGTTGGACAGGGAGCTGCAGTTGTAGTAGCGTTTGTTTTCCCTGTTGCCGAAGGCCTCCACGGTGTAACGAAGAGCCCCCTCGGCGAGATCCCACTTGCTGAGCAGAACGTCTGAGTTGCAGTTGGCTAAGGTTTGCAGATTCTGGGGAATACAGGGTGCTGGAGACAGGTAAAGTTTAATTTATATTTGCAATTTATAAAAGATTATAACACTTCAAGCTAAAAAGAGCTAAAATAATATTGTCATTTTGAAATAGGACAGCAGTTGGATCATGTTTTAAGAGAACCCACCGGAGGGCGATCACATGAGAATGGATCACAGTTCAGCTACCCACTAATGTTTGAACTTGAAATTATGGATATTCAATTGCTATATACATTAAAAATCTTCATCACTGGCTCACAAAGTTATGTTTTGTTATACAAAATATGTGTGTGTGTGCATTTACTGCTGTAGAGATGTCATACCTGTACGAATGTCAACAGTAGAGCTAATCTGGCTTCTGCATTGCCCTGCGATGGAAAGGACTGAGAACTCATAGTGTCGTCCACACACCGTGTGTGTGAAATAACAGGAGCTGTCTTCAGTCAAACAATGCTGGACCACTCCCTACAGAGAAATCACAAAGCATTTACATGATGTGTACACTAAATTACAGACTCTGGTCATTACCTCTTTAAAGGTATAGTTCAACATTTTGGAACATATGCTTATTTGCTTTCTTGCAAACAGTTGGATGACAAGGTTGATGCCACTCTCACATCTACATCCTAAATATGAAGCTACAGCCATCAGCTGGTTAGCTTAGTTAAGCACAAAGACCAAAGCTGGTGGGGATTTTCTTGCCAGAGCCAGGCTAGCTATGGTGCTAAGCTAAGCTAACTAGCTGCTGGCTGTAGCGTAATATGCAACATAAGAAGGCAAATTTTCGGTTTCTTTCCAAAAATGTTGAACTTTTTCTTTTAATTCAAAAGAATCTTCTTGCATATACATTCATTTTACATAAAAAAAATTGTCCAGAATGCGGTACCTGAGAGTCCACTGCCTGGGCCAAGTAGTGGTCTGTACTGTTTGTGCGTTCCCAGGAAAAAACAATGACTTCGCTGGAACAATCTCGCAACAACTCCAGGTTCTTGGGAGGACAGGGAACTTAAAGGAAATGGATAATATATAATTATTTAAACTGTGAAATTCACCTTATTCATCAATCCCATTCCCATCAGATGGAGGGATGGATGGATAGATATCATTATAAAGGACAAATTTCGTAATGAAAATTGAAGTAAATGGTGTTGTATTAACATCAAAGGCGAGCATCTCAGATCCCTTTTCAGGTCAAAACGCCCTGATACTGAAGATTACACTCCAGTGTTGCTTTTCACTGTATGAGGTTTCAGGTTTAACACAAACACAGGCTCATTCTTAGCAGCCTGAACACAACACAATATGATATAGACAGTGCAGCTCAATGGGAGACCCAGTTTTCAAAGGAGACACCCAGTGATGCACTCAACTAAACTCATGAATGTAACTTGTAATGGGGAGTTTGACTCGGCCTGTGAAAACGGTTGTATTTTGTGTTTCCCCCACCGCTTTTCACTTTTTCTTTTCTGCACTTGTTTTATTTCAGCTCAGTATACTGTGTTTTGCGGTCATTTACTGTCCCGCTAGTTTGTCTTTCTCTAATCTCCTTTGGTGTCTCACTAAAATAGAGGCTCACACTGAGTCACGGGAGACCTCATTCAAACACCCACAGTTTCTCTCACGACCAATAGTTGCTCTGTTTCAACAATGTTGAAATGGCTGAAAAAACTAAAATCAAAATGCTGCAGCAATGACTCTAGGTGTGTGGTTATGTCAAAAAGGACTTTGAAGAAGATGTCAGTATGTGTGTTTTCTTTTTCTTTTGTGTTAGATAGTTCGCCTAAGTTAAGTGATCCTTTTTTCTTTGTGATTATTGCGTCTCACCGGTCTGAAAAGTGGCTGAGGTGGTGTTCCTCATGTGCTTGCAGTTCTCTGACATTGGCGTTACATGCACCACGTAGCTCTCGCCGCAGCTCAGTCCGGTGATCTGACAGGTGATGCTCTGGCTGGTGCACGTCAGCTGCGTGCCATTTTTGCCCATCGCCGTGGCGTTGTAGGAGTCGGCCCCAAACACGGGCGACCAGGCAACCATGGCAGAGTGGGTGGCGCAGGTGTAGTCCACCGAAACTGATGAAACTGGTCTGAGCTCTGCAAGTAACACAGGATTAGTGTTTTGTTTTTATTGTACGTGACAAAAAAACTTGGTGAAAAAGAACGGTGTAAGTGGATTGACATTCTATATACATTTTATATCATAAATTGTAAGAGGTAGTGATTGCTTTATAAGTATGCCATAATTAAATTGTTTTATGAGTACAATTCTTAATTTGTTCTGTTTCAAACTATCACATTATCTCTGATCAGTGCAAACTGAACATATAGTGTTAAAGCTGTATATTCCATAATTAATATAAAGTAAAAAGACTTAAACAATCACTTCAGTTTCAGTTTTTTCTTAGGTTCATGTTTACATGACAACCTCAACAACAAATAGGTTGTCAGGGCATCTGAATCCCTTTTCCCCTGAGGATCATATTCTGAATGTTTGAAAGGAACGGCTCAGAGAGAATAGCTGACCTAGATCAAAATCAACCGGTTATTGATATCGGTATGACTGTGCCGACTCACTGTTGGTGGAGTAGGTGTAGTCTGTGGGCTCGCTGGGCTCCAGAAACATGTTGAATGAGGACACTGATATCACATAGGTGGAACATGGGAAGATGCCTTGAACATCCAGCTTAATGTCTGTGATGTTGTACACAGACGGCGGGCTGGTGGGTTCATCAATGTCCTGGATGGAGACTTTGTATAGCAGGACGCCCTCCACCGGCTGCCACGTCAACCTCGCCATGTCCCGGTCAATCTGTGTCGCTGTGATGTTCACCGGAGGCTGAGCCACTAGAAACATAAGCACTTAGTTAGAAGGGATATCAATCTATATGAGTTATTTTTGATACATTAGTTTGAAACAGTCTCTTTGATTTCAAGAACTAAAAAGCTTCACTGTTACCTTTCAATTTAGGAATTCATAGTCTGCAATTACAGCCAAGACAAGTTCAGCCAACTGATATTATATCACCCATCCTTCTTAAAAAAAAAAAAAACTTCTCATGGCTCCAAAAGGAACTGATCACTTACAGGTCGTGATGGTCCGCACTTTGCTTTTGGGTCCCAAGCCGGCGTGGTTAGCTGTCACGATGTAGAAGTCGTAGTTAGTGGAGGGCTGCAGATTTACCAACACAGCAGAGGAGTTGGTGGAGGTCAGGTTTGTCATCTGCCCGGTGGCCTGAGAGTACATCAGCAGGAAGTAGTGCTCCGCCGAGGTTACCTCGGTCCACTTTACCACGGCTGAAGTACTCGACAGAACTCTGCCGTCTACTATCTGCGATGTAGCGGGCACTGAGAGGAAAGAGCAGGGGAGACGGCGTCATTTAGATGCTGCATAATTTGCATCTGTGCGTAATGGCGCGTTTTTGACGCAGTCTGAGTTGACTAATTTGATACAGCACATTCTACATTTCTTTTCAAGTAACTCCTTTTGGAGCTTGTTTGGTATGCATTCGTATACTGAAATATGTACAGTTCGCTATTTATAACTGTATGTCACAATTTGACCCCTGAGGGCGAATGGCATGACGATGCTGCTCAAACAAATGTAACCAAATCAATCTAATTTTAGATGTTACAACGAATTCGATGTAAATGTTGTATTAACTGTCTTCTTCTTTACCTGTGGTCGCCACAGCTTGAGCCGTACAGTTCACTTTGAAGAATTGAAAGACTTTGAGAGTCACAATATATTCGGTTCCTGGTCTCAGACCCCACACATTCCTTTCTGTCGAGGTCGCTGGCAGGCTCACCACAATCGGTGCAAGTTGTGTATCGTTTTTCACCCGAAGGTCCAAAAAATAGTTTGTTGCCCCAGTATATTTCTCCCATGTTACCAGAATCGATGAGGGCTTTGAAGACTTTGCTGACAAGAAGATGCACCCTGTAAGAGATGGAAAGACATGGCACTGAAAACACGAGCTGGGTTACAGAACATAAAGTGTGTAATTGAAGGTATATCACAAATATACAAAAATATCATAAATGTTGTATGTGTTTCTTTTTTTAATCCAAGTTATGCCAACACAAATATTTCAAATAGTATTCACACTAAATGTCTTGGTTTGCTTACCTGCTGCACTATAAGGTATCTGTAAAAAAATATATATATAATTGAATCAACAGCATGCTATAAATATTTTAACACTAAATAATATCCATATTGTTGAGTTTGACAGGTTTTAACATAAAGAAATATATATTTACCTGAGTTAGAGATACCAATGCTAAAGAAAAGCTTATAGCTCCCAACAATCCCATTTTTGACATTGAGTGCTGGATTCCAATTAGTTTAGTGTTGAAGGTGGTCAAATACAAAAGGTGTTCTGGATTCTTTTGAGCTTCAGCCCAGCGTGTGTGGGAACCAATCAGATGGCCCCAAACAGGGACAGGCTGTCCCACCAACAGCCTCAGGCAGTCAGGAGGGAGGGATGGAAGGCTGGATGGATGGATGAGGGTTTGGTGAGGTTACCTGAAGTCAAGGAGGAGAAGAATGTGTCTCTCTCTCTCTCTCTCTCTCTCTCTCTCTCTCTCTCTCTCTCTCT